GCCACCACCGCTGCTATCGTTGTTGGTTATTTGGTAGTGTGAAAGTGCATGTCTAGGAAAGTTCTGACAAGAAAAGACTTGGAATTTAAGCGTGTCCATTAGTAACCCACCTCTCTTTCCTGGGAACTTACCTGGTGTACTGGTTCACGCCGTTATCACTATCGCCTCCGCCTTTTATGATTTCTTCCGCTCCTTTTAGTACTTCCAATTTTGTCAGTACTGCGTCTGATCCTTCCATCTACACTAACTATGTTAATGTGCACTTATCCATTGACAAATTAACTGGCCCTAATTATGCCACATGGTCATCAGACGTCAGATTATGGCTTAAGAGTCAGAAGTATCTTGATCATCTTGCCCCGAAAACACCTACTCTCACTCCTGGTGAGGAAGACCGTTAGGACACCATTGATGCTCAATTACGTGTGGTTCTCAAGGGTATTCTTGATCCTTCGTTAAAACAAATTTTTCGTTCCTACGAAACATGTGCCAAAATCTAGGAACATGCCAAGTTATTATACACCAATGATACTCAACGTCTCTATGATGTCTGTTCTAAATTTGTAGATGTTATTGCCTCTAAACATCAAGATTCTATGACTGATTATATGGGAAAAATGCATGCTCTTTTTCATGAGTTCAATGAGTTATTACCTCCTTCCCCCGACCCTGCCACCGAGATAGGACAACGATCAAAGTTCTTCATGCTAGGGACATTACATGGACTTGCTGATCAATATTCACATATTCGTGATCAGATTTTGGGTTCTCCGGTTGTCCCCACCTTGACATCGATCTGCTCCACTTTTTTGCGTATACCAGCAAAACTCAACCCTGACACACCTGCTTCTACATTGGTATCTCACCGTGATGACCGAACTCGCCCTCGCAAACAGGGAAAAGGGCGTCCTAAGTGTGAACATTGTGGCAAGCTAGGTCACAAGATTGACCAGTGTTATGCATTACATGAGTGTGAACATTGTGGCAAACTAGGTCAGAAGATTGACAAGTGTTATGCATTACATGGTCGTCCTCCTTGATCTGCTGCAGTTGCTCAGACTAATATTTCCCCACCTTTATCTGCTAAGGATCCTCCTTCTTCTATTTCATCAGACACACCTGCTATATTCAACAAATTTCTCAAATGGTATAAGGATCAACAGTCTTCTAGTTCCACTGTGTCTGTCGCACACACAGGTACATCTTTTGCTGGTCTGACCTAATATTCTTCTGGTCCTTGGGTTTTTGATTCAGGAGCCACTGATCATATTACTGGTAACAAATCTTTGTTCTCCTCTTTATCCTCTCCTGATCCTTTACCTTTTGTTACACTGGCTGATGGATCTAGAGTATCATCTCATGGTGTTGGAACTGTTAAACTTTTCCCTTCTTTAACCATTGATAATGTTCTTTATGTCCCTGAGTCTCCTTTTAACCTGTTATCCATCATTTGTCTAACTCGTTCTCTTGATTGTGTTGTTTCTTTTACCAACAATTCTGTGTGTTTACAGGATTGGAGTTCGAAAACAGGTGATTGGAACAAGATGTGAGTCTCATGGTCTTTATCATCTTCGTCCCTTTACACATGTTGATGCAGTTATAGAGTCTCCCTCTCTTCTCCATGCTCAGTTAGGTCATCCAAGTCTTGCCAAGTTACAGCAACTTGTCCCTGCCTTACCTAAATTGTCTAGTTTGGCATGTGAGTCGTGTCAATTAGGCAAGCATAGTCGTACTTCCTTTCCTCGTAATGTCACACGTGGTGCTTCGTCCTCTTTTGCCGTGGTTCACTCTGACATTTGGGAACCTAGTCACGTTAAGTCTACTTTAGGTTTTCAATACTTTGTTACTTTCATTGATGATTATTCCAGATGCACTTGGTTATTTTTGATGAAAAATCGTTCTGAATTATTTCATATCTTTCAAACTTTTTTCAATGAAATTCAAACTCAGTTCGGTGTTTCTATTAGAGTTTTGCGCAGTGATAATGGTCGTGAATATCTTTCTCATTCTTTTAAACAATTCATGGCTTCTCATGGTATTTTGCATCAAACTTCTTGTGCTTATACACCTCAACAAAATGGTGTAACTGAACGTAAAGATAGACATCTTATTGAAACAACTTGCACTCTTTTAATTCATGGAGAGGTTCCTCAACATTTTTTGGGTGATGCTCTTCTTACTGCATGTTATCTTGTTAATCGCATGTCATCTTCGGTTTTAGATAATAAAATACCTCATTCCATTTTATTCCCTCATGAACCACTTCATCCTTTACCTCTAAAAGTTTTTGGGTCTACATGTTTTGTTCATAATTTCAGTTTTGGTCTTGACAAGTTTTCTCTTGGATCACATAAATGTGTTTTCTTAGGGTTTACAAGATCACAAAAAGGATACAAATGTTTTTCTCCTTCTCTTAACCGTTATTTTGTGTCTGCAGATGTCACCTTTTATGAGTTCTCTTTTTATTTTAAAAGTCAATCTTCACCTCTTTCTCCATCCAATCTTGTCAACACTCCTAATACATTTAATATTTCTATTGTTTGTGACCCTCTAATTGTGTCTTCTTCACCATTAGTTTCTACTCCGCAGTCAGCTTCTTCTTCACTCCCTCTTCAGGTTTATAGTTGCCGAAACTAATCACAACCACCACCATGTGACTCTATTCAAGTGCCAACTACTTTGTCTCCTCCGGATGTGACACCTGAGTCTGACCTTCCCATTGCCCTCCGAAAAGGTATTCGTTCTACACGAAATCTCTCTCCCCATTATATTGGTTTGAGTTATCATCGACTGTCATTACCTTTTTATACATGTCTTTCCTCTCTTTCTTCTGTGACCATTCCAAAAACTGTCTGTGAAGCTTTAACCCATCCTGGTTGGCGTCAGACCATGTTAGATGAACTAAGTGCTCTTCATAATAGTGGAACTTGGGAATTGGTCTCGTTACCGTCTTAGAAATTTGTTGTTGGTTGCAGGTGGGTGTTTGCTATCAAAGTTGGACCTGATGGTACTATTAATCGCCTCAAAGCTCGTCTTGTGGCCAAAGGTTATACTCAAATTTTTGGGTTGGATTATGGAGATACCTTTTCCCCTGTGGCAAAGATGACTTTTGTTCGTTTATTTATCGCATGACCACTCTTCAACAATGACCTCTTTATTAACTAGATGTTAAAAATGCTTTCCTCAATGGTGATTTGCAAGAAGAAATCTATATGGAGCAACCTCCTAGGTTTGTTGCTAAGGGGGAGTCTTCTGGGATGGTATGTCGTCTTCGCAAAATCCCTATATGGCCTAAAACAGTCTCCTAGGGCCTGATTTGGAAAGTTTAGCAAGGTTGTTCAACAATTTGGTATGACTTGGTGTGAAACAGATCACTTTGTCTTTTATCGACACTCAAGTGTTGGATGTGTTTACTTGATAGTATATGTTGATGACATCGTTCTTACAAGTAGTGACAACCATGACATCTCTCAGTTGAAACAACATCTTTGTCACCATTTTCAGACCAAAGATCTTGACAAACTTAGATATTTCTTGGGTATTGAGGTGACACAGTCCAATGATGGTATTGTTATATCTCAGAGGAAGTATGTCATGGATATTTTGGAGGAAACTGGGTTGATGAATTCAAAGTCTGTTGATACGCCCATGGATCCTAATACTAAACTTCTACCAAATCAGGGGGAGTTTATACTTGATCCTGAGCAGTATAGAATTATCTTATAGTTACTCGTCCTGACATTTCCTTTGCAGTTAGTGTGGTAAGTCAATTTCTTAATTCCCCATGTGAAAATCATTGGAATGCAGTCATTCGTATCTTAAAGTATATTAAAGGATTTTCTGGAAAAGGATTGTTATATGATTTTAATAACCATACAAGAGTTGTTTGCTACTCAGATGCTGATTAGGCAGGATCTCCTTCGGATAGAAGATCTACATCTGGATATTGTGTCTCCATTTGTGGTAACTTGGTCTCATGAAAAAGTAAGAAACAAAGTGTTGTGGCAAGATCTAGTGTAGAAGCAGAATATAGAGCTATGGCCTCAGCTGCTTGTGAACTTGTTTGGCTCAAGCAATTGCTTAGAGAGTTACAATTTGGAGATGTCACTCAAATGTCACTTGTGTGTGACAATCAGACATTCATATTAGTTCTAATCCTGTCTTTCATGAGAGGACTAAACACATTGAGATTGACTGTCATTTCATTCGAGAAAAGATTATGTCTGGAGACATCAAGACTGAGTTTGTTAACTCAAGTGATCAGTTAACATATATTTTTACTAAATCTTTACGGGGTCCTAGAATTGATTATATTTGTAACAAGCTTCACACATACGATTTGTATGCTCCAGTTTGAGGGGGAATATTAGATATTGTTAGATATTGTTAACCACAATATCAAACAATATCTTCTATTTATTCTGTTACTTTCAGTTACTCTTTTAGTTGTATCTCTCTACTACGAATAGACTACCCTATGTGTGATTTATATATACACAAAGGATATTAATCTCAAACTCTATTTCTTCTCTATTTTGTGCATTTGTTTATGAGAGATGTAATTTGACGACACCGATCTTGTTATCACGTTCTTTTATAATGTCATTAGATGCTTAAAGTATTTGGATAGATAAGATTTGGACAGAAATAATAGAAGCTTTGTTTTTCAGCTAAACCCATATCTAAAATGAAACATATTCTACATTGACCAGAATTGTTCTACAGCTATGAATTTCTTGTAAAAAGTGATATGAAAAAACCCTTACATAGAAATAAGAGAGAAAGAATTAAAAAATAAAAAAGGTTAATTGGAAATAACAATCTACAATCAGCTTTAGTGTGTGACAGTTATGAATTGTAGATAGGCTGAACTTTTTGACATTTTTGTTTGTTTGTATGTTGAATGTATATGCTACCAGGGAAGGATCTAAGTAGAGAATAGAGTGTGAACCTTTTCACATTGCGTTTTCGTCCTACTACTCTTCTTTTTACGTTCCTCCATGTCTAACATAATACTCTATTCTAATACATTGAAGTGTGAATATATTTTGATGAAAGTATGAACAATGAAAGTTAAAAATGAGAGACTTGAGTGTGAAAAAGTTCTAGTAGGTGATAATTTGTTTGTATTCAACAGTTGAAGCATGAAAAGGAGGGGAAAAGGCAGAGGCTGAAACTGAAACACGGGGTGAGATGGTGGTCCACACTTGGCTTAAAGTCAAAAGTGACATAGTAAGAGAAGAAGAGAGAGCTACGTTGGGGAACGAGCCCCATCAATCAGTCCATTAACTTTACTCGCTTTCTCGTTTTGGATTACATCTCATCCTTCATCTTCCAATCTCACCAATTTTTAACACTCCTTCGTTTCTTCATTATTTTTTATTCTTAAAAAGCTTTGGAGTTTATTTATACAAATGAATAGAAAATAGAGGTAAATATTCAAAAGGGTTATTAAGAGCCACTCATGTTGTAAACCAAAAAATTTTGTGGTTATTATTATTTGCTTGATCATAGGATAAAAGATTAGATGCTAGCAAGTTTAGAAAAACATCAAAATTGTTATCTAATTTTACGGCGTGATTCAATGGGTAAGGATTGCTGGTGTCATGAATAATCATACACTAATGAAGTGCAGTAAGCTTTGATTTTTTGAATTTTATGATTTCAATGTCATTGCCGGGAAATTGTTTGTATTACATGGATTACAAGAACCAGTCATAATTGCAAAGAAAAATGGACATATTTGTGTGTGTGAGAGAAGTGACTAGTGAGTTCAAGTACTTTTGCTTTCTATTTTTCATTATTGTGCTTAGATGAAATGATGAGGTATTGGTGACACAGTAAAGAACTTTATGGGGTATGTTATGAAGGAAAATTACAGCTATATACATTATTATATATTGTTAATCTGAAAATAATATTGTTTGGATTATTATTTTCCCGGCATATGGTAATGGTGGGGCATTAACGAGGTCAGTGTCCTGAGGTACCCGCCGGTCTCCTAAACCCGATATTTTTCTAACGGTTAACTATTCTTCTCTCTCCACACACAGAGAGGAGTGAAGAACGCAAGAAGGCAATAATTTCATGTTCCTTGCTCTCACACAATGTTGAGTTACAGGCCACTGCATTTTTGTTTTCTCCTCACATTTTTCTTGTCCACTTCCTTTCTGTTGTCACACCAGGCTTCAGGTATTTCACTCACAACTCTCTATATTTGAGCTTTTATTCACTGTTTGGGAGACCCTAAACTCTTGGACGCTAAACAAGTCTCTAATTTAAACAAATGTCATTTTTTGCCACTTTGAGTTCAGTGGGGGGTAGAAGTCACCACTATGACAATGCGGGACAGTGTTTCATATGATTGTGGCTGCTCTCTCACTCTTGAAGATGTTTCCCTAGAAAGCAAAGCATGAACATTTTGTTTTTTGCAGGGCCAGAAAACGAGGGAAAGGATGTTGTAGGCTTTTCTCGGTTGTATGTATATGATGCTGCACCGTTCGAGAACTCGCCCATTCCCTTAGCTGCTGAGAGAACACGAAGAAAAGACCCTCTTAATAGCTTCAATAAGTACATATATGGATGGAATATCGGTGACAACCATTATTGGGCTGTAAGTACTTCAAATCAAACCCTTACTCCTTTCTGCTGTAGTAATGGTTTTTAGTGTGCCACTAAGGACTGTATTTCGTTAATTGTTGCTGTTAGGTTCAACATTTGTGCTTACATTGTGGTTCTGGGATTTGCATCACCGATCTTCAGTTAGCATTTTAATTTATTTGCCAAAACTATGAAATGTAGAATTGTTGGAAAAGGAGGTAACAAAGAATCATTGTTGTCCTTGAAAGTATCTGTGTGACAATAAAAAGATGCTTTTGGTGCGCACATTTGTCTTACCTATTTTACCCTCTAATTCATATAGATGCAACTGAAGTATTATTCCAATATATTTAGGATAAAACTTAAGTGCCGGATCTCTTCTGCTTTTGATGATGTTTTCTGATCAAAACTTAAGTGTTGTATCAACGACCAACGCTGATTTTTTATGCTGACTGATGAGAAACTCTTTGTTAAAAAGGACTAAAAGCATATAAAGTAATGCATTAGCAGTGTTGTCCATTTATTAATATCTTGAGTTGAGTAGCATGTGGTAATTCACCGACATGCTATGCTCTTTCCCTTATTCACTAGATGGGCGTTATTAAGAATATATTTAAATATTCCTTTGCATGTTTTTTTAAGGAAAAACAATATTTATCTCCATGGGTTTTACTGGATGAAGTAATGAATGGTCCTGTGCTATGCTTCAAAGTGAATTGTTTGAACTTTATTTGGCTGGATTAGATTACAGTTGGGCAATAATTTGGTGACTTCTGACTGGTTTCAGTTGTTGTGTTTTATTTCTTTAGTTTTGTCTCTTTCAATTTTCAGCACTTTGATCTTACCAAGCTGTTTGGTAACTGTTTTCTTATTGTATGCAGTCTGTGGCATATACTGCAGTTCCTGTGTTCAGTATTGCAGCAGTTTGGTTCTTGGGCTTTGGCTTGTGCTTATTGACCATTGGTGTTTGTTACTTCTGTCGTAAAAGAGAGCCTTATGGTTATTCACCAACATGCTATGCTCTTTCCCTTATTCTCCTGATATTATTCTCATTTACAGCAATGTACACATCTCTCTCTTCTTATGTTTTGATTGATTCAGGTTTTGTTCGATCTGTATTACAAATTGTACTTTTCTATGATAACAGGATTGGATGTGCCGTGCTCTACATTGGCCAAGGAAGTTTCCATCATAGCATGTCGTCCACATTGCAGTATGTGGTGCATCAAGCTGATTCCACTGTGGATAAGCTTAAAAACGTGTCAGATTATCTTGCTCAGGCTAAGCAGGTTGGAATCGATCGAATTTTTCTCCCCACAAATGTTCAAACTGATATTGATGGGGCAGAAACAGATATCAATAACTCTGCTGGCACCCTTGCTGATAAGACAAAGGAGAACGTAGACAACATACAAGATCTCTTAGATTCTGCGTAATGATGGATTATAATGTTTTCCACTCCAGATATTTGGTTTTTGCTTTATTTTTTACTCTATAACATGAACGTAACAATGATACAGGAGGTTGGCGCTTATCATAATAGCTGCTGTCATGCTAGTCTTGACATTTCTTGGATTTTGTAAGTCCCTTCTATGCCCCCAATTTAGACGCAGAAGTTCTTACTTGCGATGGAATTCATTTTCTTCTTTTTACTTGTTACAACAGTATTCTCAATTTTTGGCATACAGCTCCTTGTGTATATGTAAGTAACATTAACTTTGTACCACCCAATATTACGTACTTTTCTTGCGATTCTTTGCTAGCAAACTTAACTACACTTAACGTTATGTTCTCTCATGAAACACTTGGCGTAAATAATTGCAGCTTGGTAATCGCAGGATGGGTTCTTGTTACTGGTACCCTTGTGTTATGTGGCTTGTTCCTTGTTCTCCATAAGTAAGTTCCCGTTCCCCTTCCCTAAAATAGTTAAAATATATTCAATGATTTTACCATATATTTTTATCAGTTAATTTTTCAACTAATTTTTTTTTGCTGTATGCAACTGTTATTAGTTAGTTTTCATGTGACCTTCATATAAAAGCTGCATTGTGTAGTTAACGTGTCGTAAATAAGAGATCAATTTAAATTTTTTGTTTTTTTTAATTGACAAATGCCAATTGTTAATGTGCTAGGTTTTGTTAGCAGGGATTTAAACTTGCTACCTATCCATTCCTCCCTGCAACTTTTACCACCAAACCAACCTTATATCACCTACATCAATTTCAGATTGAGAGCCCTCTGCACATTTCTCTCGATTTTTCTTTAAAAGTGTATGCTTTCACATGACATCAGAGCTTCTTTTAGTTTAATGTCTGAAACCATATCTGCTCTTTGATTCGGTTCTTTTCTTTGTCTCCTCTGATCGTCGAGAATATTTGATCATTGTTCTTGCAGATTTTTATTTTCTGAAACTTCAGTTTTCTTCTCAATGTGCAATTATCACTTCTCACAATTTTGGACTATAGAATGCACCATTTATACGAAGCGTGCATTTTGAAGACTAACTGATAAAAACTTATTACAGTAGGCTATAAAAAGCAAGAAATTAAATTAGCTGAAAAATTTGAGTAACATAGTCTCGCTGACAGACACCAATTTAGTTGCAGGATTTATGTTATTGTAAGAAATAATCACATTTTCATTATTATATTCAGTCATGCCATAGGAAATGTATTACTTCGTTTTCTACCCTTGAATAATACAGATCCTTCAGAAGCCTCTCGGTTAAATTATGTTAAACTTGACATTCTGGTCCAACCCTCATAAATCTTTTACCAAATACGATGTTTATAATGAGCATGCTATCTTCTGTTATTTATTTGTACTTTTCAGATGTGGAATTTGGCATCTTTAGTGTGGAGCTAATCCCTTTTCGTTTTGGTAGTGCAACAGCAGACAGTTGTGTAGCTGTGAATGAATGGATCCAGTATCCGGTTGCACATACGGCAATGGACGATATTCTGCCATGTGTGGACAATGCTACTGCACAAGAAACATTGTCACGAAGCAAAGAAGTAACTTCTGAACTAGTGAATTTGGTGAACCAGGTTATCACCAACGCCTCCAACATAAATTTCGCCCCCAATTTCACTCCACTCTACTATAATCAATCTGGTCCCCTCATGCCGCTCCTCTGCAATCCCTTCCATCCTGACATGACTGATAGACAATGCGATGCTGGTGAAGTTACCTTAAGCAATGCAACACAGGTACATTAATTCAACCAACTTCATATAACATACAAAACAAACACTGCTTTGCCGTGCAAAAGCAACTTCCTATTTGCTTCTATTTCAATTGAATTTTAAGGCAGTTAAGGTAAAACATCCATTACAAAAAGTGAAACTGAAAACCGAACTAAAGCCTTTTTTCAGTTTTACTTTTTCCTCTCAAGTTGAGACCTCTTAATTGAAAACTATATACATAAACTAATTAATTTACAGATAAAGTCATTTTATTTTATCGTATTTTTCTGTCTTAAAAACAAGTGAGATTCGGGTTAATTTTACAATTCTTTTTTCATTTTACATTTATTTTATTTTCCTATAAATGTTTGTTGAAAATTTTACTTGAACAAGACTTGATTGAGTCATCAAAAAGAGAAAGTCTTGAATATGTAGTTGCATTAACTGAGTCGAAAACGATTTGTGTATGGAGTTTGTGGTCTAAACCTTAAAAATGAGAGAAAGCCTCATGGTTTAAGTATCAGGCTGAGTTTTTTTATTCTACCCAATTGTGAGACACGTGTTGAGTTGGTGTTAATATTTGTCTGTGTGTGATGCAGGTATATGGCAGTTTCGTGTGCCAGGTTTCACCATCTGAGATATGCATGACGCAGGGGCGTTTGACCCCGACCTTCTACAACCAAGTCTCTGCTGGAATAAACGTGGCCAACGCTTTGTATAGTTATGCCCCCTCCCTGGTTGAGCTACAAGATTGCACCTTCGTTCGGGAAACTCTAAGCCTTATATCTACAGACCATTGTCCTGGTCTGCGGCGTTATAGTAGATGGATCTATGTTGGTTTGGTAATGGTCTCTTTTGCTGTCATGTTCTCCTTGATCTTCTGGATCGTGTATGGGAGAGAGCGTAGACATCGTCTGTATACAAAAGAGTTAAAGGCCTTGACTCCTACGCGTGCTCCACCTCCAGGACAAGCACTGGCATTAGCCCAAATCCCTGAAGGGGACAAGTATAATTAGCAAACTAATTGATAATGATGTTGCTCTTCCATTGCTAGTTGGTAGATGAACATGTGTGAACTGTGCTTAGCTTTTTCCGGTGTGGGGTGTATAATGTTGTAGCTTCTTTGTATGACACCCTGTTCTTAATGAAATGTCATTATTTTATGTGGCATGATGAAAAAGGGGGAGGGTGAGGAGGAATTAGACAGCAAACGAGGCACAAACAGAAGGATGAACCACATTGTCTGTTCTTGTGTGGGGCAAAATCATGAAACCAACATGGCAGAGGTCTTAGATGTTGGACACTGTTTTCTTTCGATGCAGCCCACAATCAACGTCACACGAAAAGATTAATCCAACATGTTCCTGAAAAGATGCCAAAAGCCTATTAGAGAATCGGGAATAGTGCACCTAATTTGACTGCATTTTGAACTGGTTCTCTTTCATTTGGTGGATAAGTTAGCAGATACCCCTCTTCCATTTTGGACCCATAGCCAAACCTATTGAAAATGAAAAGGGTAAAAAAAGAACAGAAAAAACACCTCTGCAAGGTAAAATACATAATTATTGTGAGTACGAGAATAACAAGGAAATGAATTTTGTTTGAATGACTAATATAACTTGTTAAAATGGACATGTAATCATTAATTAATTTTTAGCCTTCATAGTTAATATATCCTGATATTTTTCAAACTAATATAACTCTTACGCGTCTTATGTATTACTCCTCATTACGTCGTTCATAAGAAAAGGTACTCTAAAATTTCATTCCTTAATTGTGATTTTAAAAAAAATATCATTATTAATTTTTTTATGCGACTTTTAGTCATGGTCAACATTTGGTTGTTGTAATTAATTGACCATTTCTTAAATTTCAACGATTATTTTTAAAAGTATTGGTTAAGAGAAATAAAGAAAGTACAAAATAAAAAATATTAGATAAAAATATTGGCTAAAAATTAACAGTATTATATTTAAATTTTAATTATGTTTAGTATTTTTTTTTAAATAATTAAAATTTATTAAAGTATATTTTGATATTTAACTTAATTTACATTCGAGATAGACTTAATTCAATAGATAATCTAAAATATCTATAAAAAAATATGTTAGATTAAACTAAAAAAATTATAATCTAAATTGAATAAGTCTTCTGGTTAGAGTTTAGGTCATATTAATTCATATGGTTATAAACCAATTTATTTCATAAAATCATAATTATTTAAAAAAAATAATGTTATTTTATTTTATATATATATATATATATATATTATAAAATAATTTAACAGAAATTCATTTATTTAAAAGTAAATATCAAAATAAATCTCTAATAATTATTTATTCAAATATATAATTAGGATTAATTGTTATTTTAAATTATTAAAAAAATAATAATAATAAAAAGTAAGTTTTTAATTTTTATTTTGAGATTAAATTTATAATTTATATATTAAATTATTATATCTTAAATAAAAATCAATTTTATTAATAAAATATAAAATTTAAAAATATTTTTTTATTTTAATTAATTAATTTTATATAAAGATATTAATATTTTAAAAAATTCACATATTAAAATTGATTTGTTAACCGTCAATATAAATAAAATCAGATTAAACTAGAAGATTTGGTACATTTTAAAGGTTAATTCAACCATACATTTTTTTACTTCGTACCAAATTGAGTTCAAACACCCATTTTGACGCAATTTGTTGATAACAATTGATAATAATTAGATAGTAAATAGCTTTAATTGCACTGCAATTATTTTTTACTGGTTAATGATAAGGTAGTGATGAGTTAAGTGGTTGCTATTTTCCCACTTTGCTTGTAATATAACCAACAAAGAGACGGGATATGAATACAAAAATATGTACACTACTAGCATGGAATCATATGATTTTTTTTATTTTTTTTTAATATCGCTACTTTCATTGTGCAGTTTTTTAATTATTATAATTTATAATTTTATAATTAAAAAAAAAACTAAATTAAATAAGTCGTTATAATTTAAATAAGATAGTAATATGAGAGAAAGAAGTGAATCAATATATTTTTCTTCTTCTCAATTTCTGGATCATTTTGTTGAATATTATACGTCATCAAATTGGGACAACATAAAAGTCAAAAGGTTGAAAAATTGAATTTGAAGGCCGACCAATCAGAATTAGTCCAACAAAACTGCCACCGTTGAGTTGTTTGAGTGTGGAGAAGATCGCACCCTCATAAATATTCTTGAAATTCAAGCACAATTTAATTTAAGTACCTCAACGTTCTGTCCTCAAGATGGCTACAAATTTATCAACCAATTTCACTATTGCTTATTATTGATAGGTCCTATTTTTGTTCTACTTTTTGAGAATGGTGAATGAAAATAATAATTGATTAATATAATAATAATATAATCAAAATTTGTCACTTAAAATAACAAAAATTAATGAAAATAAATTAAGATAAACATTTCATTTCTTAACTTCTGTTTGATTGAATCGTAAATTTGAATGAGGAAAAAAAGGTGGGGAAAAAATCGAATTTAGGGTTATTTGAATTAAAAAAAAGATTAATAAGTAGAAAATTAAATTAATTTATTTTTTATTAATATTGATAATATAAATAAAACACAGGTACTTTTGTTTCGTTTGTTTAGTATAATTTTTTAATGAATTATTCATATTTATTGGGACTATAAATTTAGAATAAATGAATTTTTGCGGTCATGATATCTACGCGTATTTAATTGGCATGGAAAAGGAATAGTTGGTTGATAAATTTATAAAAAAATGATAATTATTAAAATTAAAATGGAGTAGAGGAGTATATAGGAAAAATAATCAAAATATTATTGGTTTTATTTGGAGGCATATTAAAAACAAATTATCGTTTACAATATTAAGAAGAAATTGTATAATTGTAAACTATTTTGAAGTGGCTTTTTGTTTTGAAAATTGATGGAACTTACTTCGATGTTTTTATTCACATGTCACAAGATGATGTTTATATTACTTGAATCTCTCTATTACATATGATAACTTGTTTTTTCAGTAATTTTGTTAATATTTTTGACAACGTAAGTTTGCAACGAAATTTAACACGAGAATAAAACATTATGAAAATCAATAAATTAAATTATGTTTACAAATAGAAAATTCCATAATGATACTTTTAGTATGGAAATAATTTTAAACTAAATAAATAAATAAATAATTTTAGTATGAAAAATAATGACAAAAATTTGAAAATATTTTACTAAATTTATGATCATGAAAGAAAACTATGTAATATGGTAATTAGTAAATATATAAATATCATTAATAAAGATATAAAACATTTGTTATCAATTTTATTTTTAAAATTTAAAAAAATATAAAATAATAAACATTTTTTAAAATAAAACACTTATCAAATAAGTTTTTAGTTTTCCATTCTATTTTTTAAATGTGCCTTAGAGAGCGTAATATAATTTTGTCTTAATTTTTGAAAATTAATTATATTCTTGAACCATTAAAAATATGAGAGTTTTGAGATTTTTCTTTTCATTGCAATGCTAAAAATACTATATATAAATATAGATAAAAAAAGTATTTGAATTTTATTGAAAAATCTAAAGAGAAATGTTTTTGTATTCTAATAAAATCAATTTTACGGTTGTTAACAAGAGTCCTAATAATTTAAAAAAAAATTTAAAAAATTAAAACTATTTTAAAAATAAAAAACAAACAAAATTTTATTATTATTTTTTATTTTATGAAATGCATGCCTGAGAGTGTAACATAATTTGTTTCCTATGTTATGAAAATTAATTATGTTCTTGAAACATGAAAAAAAAAAAGTTATCATATTTTCATTCTGATTTATAAAAACATTAGTTACAGAATTAGATGAAAAAAAAATATAGTTTTTTAAAATGAAAATAGAGTTTTTTTAAGTATAATAAAAACACTTTTAATTTGTGAATCAGTGTCCTAATAATTGTTATAAATTATGATATGCATATGCAGTTGTTGTAAATAAGGTTAATATTTCAAATTATAAAACAAATTTAATATTTACTGTATATAAACAAAAAAGAAAATAAAAAATTGAGAAGATATTACAGGGGAATTCAAGATTATGATTAATATAAAAAAGGTACAACGAATAAAGGTTCCAGAGCACAAAGAAAAGGTTGTCTCAATCATTTCCCATTATCTCACATCAATTTACAATTACATAATGCCTTTACTCTTTTTAACTAATACTTTCCATTTGACATTTCATTCTACCTCTTTTTATTCAATTTCTATTATTTCATTCTTTTGAAAACTAAATAAAATAAATTATTTAACTTGTTAATTTTTGAAAAAAATAATAAATAAAATGCATTCCAAAGATATTGGTGTAACAGTACAACGATTAAAAGATATATAACATCATCAAAATTTAATTCAAATATTTTGTTCATGATTAATAAGTTAAGTGTTAAATTGAAAATGTTGTGTATTTTTAAGTATATATATTTTTATTAAATTTAAAAAAACATATATGAATATTGACATTTTCTTACATAAATTAAATATAATAGTTAATCTCTTTAATATTAGTTTTGTTTGGGTAAAAATATCTCATAGTTCACCAACCATACACTCACACTATGTGGCATATTTGTTTACTTATTATCTAAGGAATTTTGTCAAGGGGGGGGGGTTAAAATAGAAATGGGACACTCCAAATTTAAATCTTATTTTGTACTTCTTCATCTACGAGAGAAAATAATTACTTATTTGATATCAATGTATCCCACTGCTGTATTGTATTCCACAGAAAATAAAATTACTTCAGGGATACAATTATTTATTAATTAAAAGAAAGTTTTAGTAATTAAATAAATGAAGAGAAAGATATATTTTACTAATAAACTTGCCGTAAAATATATGAGTTTCATCTTTATCAACGGTCTAATTTTTATTTTACTTTTCACAACATTTTAAATTTTAAAGGTTAGTTAGATAAAAACACTATAATTTTTTTTTCTAAAAATTAAAAATTAGTATATATTTTGAATAAAAATAAAAAATAGTTATTATAACCTTAACATTTATCCATTAAAAAGAAGAAGAAGGAAGGAATACAAATTAACTATGTGACGCGTAATTTGAGATTATAATGAATTTGTGATTTTAGAAGGAACAATTGCGGACTGGGCAAGTTAGGGTTAGGGACCCTCCAGCGATTACCTGCTGTAATTAAAAGACAAGGAAATGGTGACTTTCTGGTACATTTGCCATTGACCGTCTCCCTATAATCCTATACGTGTCAGCCTTTGCGCTTTCCTAGGAACCTTACTCCACCAACGGCTCCACCTGCCGATCGTTTTCACAAGTCCGCATCACACCAGCCGTTGGATATCGATCCTAACCATGACCACGCTCCTCTCTCTCATGCTTCACATAACCCAACCTCACTCAACCCTGGTTAAGTTAATTAACCGGAAGGTCCTTGGTCCAAAAGACCCCTTCCTTTTGAGCTTATTCACTCTTAACCCTCTCATTCTCCATCTTTATAACCGGCCTCCGAGACTCACTAGGTTTGCCAAACCAATTCCCCATAGGGGACCTTAGAGAGCAATCCTCCTCCCTCTCTCTCTCTCTTCTTTTCTTTGTTTTCCCTCTCTATCTCTCTATCTCTCCCTCAATGGCCTCCTCTTCTTCCAAAACAACGTCAAGTGGACCCGTTTTACGTTCTCTCTCACCCTCTTCCAGATTCTGTTCCTACACCACCTCCAAAACCCCTTTCTCTTCCCCTTCTTCAGCCTTTGCATCCTCCACAGCTTCTGCCTTCTCCTCTCCCTCTTCAACCTTCTTCACCAACCCCCGTCACAACCACTCTCAGTCCAATCATCACTCTCATCACCGTGCCGCCTCCCCCACACGTGTCAATCTATACAGCCCCGCTCCTCTATCCTCTGGCGTACGCTTCTCCATTGACCCCCGCTCTATCTCCCCTAACCGCTCCATCTCCAACCAGATCATCACCAAGAACAACCGTCCCATTTCTGGTCAGAAGAAATCATGTATGTGCTCCCCTACCACGCACCCTGGCTCGTTCAGATGCAGCCTCCACAAGAACGCAGGCAACAACCACCACCACGCGGATTCCTACCCCTCCAATCGCCTCAACATGCGCAGATCCGCAATGAAGAACTCGCTTGTCAGGATCGGAGGCGTGGAGGGTGAGTGGGTGAAACGGGCCCTGACAGCGCTGATCCGACCCAGTTCGCATCAACAGAGGAGGAGAGCGGGTTTCGAGCCCAGGCCCAGTCGTCTCTCTGTCATGTCCAAGGCCCAGGATCTTTGATTTTTTCTTTAAACTTATTTTTACAGGTTCGTTCTCCATTTTACTGCTATTGCGGTGGTTAATCTACCCCTAGCGCCCTGATCTGCCGCCAGAGTTGGATTCCGGCGAAGCGGTTGGGAGGTAGCGGCGAGTCCTCTCCGGCGAGTTTTGATTTCGTCGTCTGGAGCAGCAGATTGGTGAATTGTCTCTTTGGCAGATTTTCAGCATAGATCTATGACACTGGACCCACACAATTGCTATTGTACATAACTTTTGCTATGGAAGCAGAGTTTTGGACCCATTTTCTTTTTTGCCTTCTCCTTCGTCTAATTCCAGAAAACATACATCATAAATTTTACATCCAAGGCTTAATTTGGGACATAAAATTTTCAATCAAATTAAACTAACTGAATTAAATTATAACCCTAAAATAAGTTAATTGGTGATGTGGAATCCGTTGATCACTATCGTGACCCATCTCGGTGGTTCTCTTGCAGCGTCGTTGAATTTGTTAAATTTCCGTCCATGGCCGCCGTTTCCATTTGGCTCTTGGGTGGTTCCGTCGTTTGGAACCGTTCCGTTACCCGTGATGCCGTTGACCGTCCGTTACGTTCGTCCAGTTGCCTTGCGTGCTGTGTCAGGTACTTCCTTTCAGTCTCTATTAATTTGCTTTTAATATTTCTATATTTTTCTATTACTTTTAGGATTATTTATTTAATATTTATGTTACTGTTGTGGATATTTAATTTATTTCATTGAAGGTTGTTCGTGAAGGTGCAGTTTGGAATTGAGAATATTTGAATTCTTGTGTTCGACGGAAGCAAAAATTATTGACAAAGCATGTAGAGAGAAACCCTAAGCACGACGGAGACTCTTTCGTATGAATTCGGAAACAGAACAAGCAGAAGAATATTAAAAATAAAAATTATATTAAATATGGAAAAACGCAATCGTTTATGAAATCTGAAACCAGACAAAAGTATGGAAAATAAAGGAGTATTTTTAAAAGTAGAGGTAAAAAATCCCAACATAATTTAATAGAAAAAATTCGAAAGTTGGTAACTTTGATTAAATTAAGGTTTGGTCAGGAAATGTTGAATATGATGGAACATATTTCTGAAGCAGTGCCAGCTAGCTGGCCATGTGGTGCCTTGTGATTTATTAGCTGCTTTCAGGATAATAATGCACCGTAATTTTGACAGATTTGCTTTTAAAAAATTCATCTAATTTGAGATTATGGCATTTAATATTTGACTTAGTCATGAATTAGAAAATTACTACCTTAACATTCAGTGACCATTTTTTTGTTGTCGAACATCACTGTTTTAAAAAGTACAGATTTTAAAATTATGGTTGACTGGAAAACTGATGTATTTATTAGCAATGACGTTATAATGTGGTCATTCTGGCAAACTCTGGGTACTTCTAAACGAAGGAAGGGCACAGCACAGGCACAAACTAGTACAACTCACAACACAAAAGTGGCTTACACCCCACGCAATTTTGGTTACATAATTAGATTAGATCACCCCGTTCGTTCAAGCTTTGTTTGGTTTTCAGGAAATAAATAAAAGAAATGAAACTAGAAAAAGAAAATTATGATAGATAAACAGATAAAATAATTTTAGGATTCCGACACAAGTTTTCTTTCAATCTCATGAACATTTTTATAAATACTTTCGTAAATGATAATTTATAGTTTAAAGAAAAGTATTTTCTTCAATCAGTATCAAATTACCATTCTCAGCCACAAATATCTTTCCACAGTTGTTTTAAAATAATAATTTAAAAATGACGCTACTATAAAATGTAAAGGAAATAATTTAAAGCTTGTTTGTTCACAAAACACATAATTTGGTAGGAAGATGTTCACTTTGACGTGATTGAGCATCATCACATGCACCATATTCAATGTAACGTATTTAAGATTATAGCCTCACCCAGATCTAGCCGACTAAAAATTATTTTTAAAATCCAATCATTACCCAAATAATTGTTCAATTTTGCGCCTACTTAATTCGGGTGTGTAGTAATATGTGTACAACTACTACATAAACGAATCTGTATGACAAAGGTTACCCAACATTCATATAAAACTGGTATGGAATAATGTATAAGATAATATTTAAAGGAGAAAAAAAAAACAGAATAGCAGTGGCACATATGGTCATTATTTTCCTGCCAAAAGTAGAGAAGTAGAAGAGACGAGGAGTCCAGAACTTGGAGCATCTTTGCCACTTGTAATTAAAAATGTTGAGGTATATTAAACAACAGAAAAAGAATACAAGACAGAAACAATGCAAAAATGCTATTTAAGTTCATTACAGAATAGTTGATTGGAGTGGAAAGATGTGAGTAAATATTGACGAGAGGTTGAATTGGTGGAAAGGCAATCCAGAGCTTTGACAGAAAGCAATGGCATTGGTGAATGGAGAGTGGATAGATAGATAGTAAAATTGGGATGTGAGAGAGTGGAGGAACTAAAAAGACGAATGAAAAAACAAGAAGCGGAGGTTAACCCTGTTGTCTTGTCTTGTGTTGTGGTCCCTCATTACTTGCTAGATACCACCAGAAGTTGTGTTGGTTGGATGCAGTTTGCTGTGATGCACACAATTAGCTGCCCAACAAAATGTTCAAACCTATTATGGTCCCACCCACTGATTAATGTTTTTTTTTTTTTTTTTCAATAACAAAATTAAATCTTTGATCCTTGCTTTTGATACCATCCTTGCTAGCCCCAACGGGCCGACTTGGTAGGCACGCCAAACTTTGACTTTTTTGTTTTTGTTTTCCATATTCTCGTATTCATGTAAAAAAGATTTGAATAAATTTGTTGGGAAATTATTGAAAAAGTTATTTCAAACTATTTTTGGAAAAATTATTTCAAACGAATTAATCCATAATTCAAATATATACGTAAATAATTATTTCCAATGGGATCCATAATATTTGAAAATAAATAAATTGAAAGATGAGTACAATAACTTGTGAATAATTATCCATTATGAAGTAAATTTGACTATTAAATAGTAAATTGAAACTAGTCACCCTGTTGTAAATATATTCTTGTAGTTATCATATCGAGTCTTATAATGTTGCTAGCTAAATAAAATATAAAAATATATGATAAAAGATAATTAATAATAATTATTAATTTGCAAACTACGCAAGATTACATTGTTCATTCACATTGATGATTGAAGTATCCTTACTACTTTATTATGGCCCACGAAACTCATGACAACTTATTATGTTTACATGTCTAATCAATTACGTTATGTATGTATATCTACTTTATCATTTTAGTTTTTTTTTTTCTATAAATACAAAGTTGGAAGAAACCCCTTCGGACATGTATTATAATATTTTATTTTTCTTTCAAAAATCTGAACTCGAGAATATTTTTTGCCCATGTTTGGTTTACTTAAGGAAAAAGAAGAAAGAAAATTACCTTGTAAGATTTTTTTTCAAATGAGATACATAAAAATTTAAAATAGAAGATTATTTTATTTAATCTTATAAAATTGATTCAATAAGATGATAATTATATTTATCTATATATTATAATATTTTTAATTTATTTTAATTATATATTATAATTACATGAAAACGAAGTATTCATTATTTTAAAAATATGAAGTATTTATTAATTTATTTACAATTAAATTTTACTGTGAAATTTCGCTGGTCATCTTAACTTTTTCTTACAATTATATATTTACTATTTATCAATAAAATTTGAACTCCAAAATTTATTTTATAAAATTGTACTCAACGACTTGGTGATTCTTCTTTATTTCTCTTTTGTTTATAACATTTAAAATTCTGGTTACAAACGAAAATATTTAATGGTAAAACATGAACTTATACTTAATATATTTTTTTAACCAAAACATAAGGTGAGTTTATATTTTATTTTAGAGGAATGCATAAATGCTTACAATTTTGGGCTTATTTCAATCTTTCTTGTGGATCATGTTGGTTATAGACCTTAGCCCCATTAAGGCTGCTGGAAGGTGGGCTTAAGTCATAACTGTCTCTGGGCCGACCGGCTCATTCTTCCCACAATCCATATATCCTTGCTTCGCCTGTTCATCTAGAATAATTTAGAATATTTTTTTTTTAATATTTTGGATGGATTTTTTTATAAGTATTTTTGAAAATATTTTAAAATTAACTTCCTAAAAATATTTTGGATTACTATATTTAGTTTTTTTCAAAAATATTTGGATTAAGTTTTTAAAATTATGAAATTATATTATGTAAAAAATATTTTCAGATATATTTTTTTAAAAAAATTTGAATTAATATTTTTAAAATAATAAAATTATATTCTGCATTTTATATATAATCTATATATATATTTTTTAAATTATATATTTTAAAATTTATTCATTCAAAAATTTGCAATCTTAAATATTTCAAAACTTACGTTAATGTTACTAATTTTAAAAAATAATAAAAATATTATTTTCTTTTTAAATAAATTGGAGAAAAACACCAACTAGTATAGATAATAAATTTTCTGTGCTGTCTCTACAGCACGGGGTTTTCACACCGAAGATCTGGACCGTTGATTATTTTTTCTTTCTTATTTCTTATCTGACAGAGCTTTGCAGCAGTAACCGATCCAAAGGTTGTGATAAGCTGAATCTTGGATGGAGGTAAAGTTGGTTGGAGAGGATCTATTTTGGTTCCGATTCTTGGCTTGCCAACTTGGTTAAACTTCGAACAAAAGAATAACAAGAAACTAAAAGCAAAAGCATGCTCCATGTTCCCCTGTTCTTCTCATCTGAGCACATCATGCCTTCCTTTTCCACACTCCGGCGATTCCCTCTGTTCATCCAACGCTTCCGTACCTTAAATTATTCCTCTTCTCCCAACCCACATCAAAATCCCAAGTGGGTTTCAGGTTCAGCCATTGTTGCAGGAGTAGCCTCTGCTCTTGCCCTCTTCTACTGCTACACCTCACCCAATTCACCCTTCGATTGCGTCTTCTTAAACAATTCCTCTCGCAGTACTTCATCTCCATTGTCTGGACAATCATCTCTTCCTGAAACTGCTCGTGGTTTGCTTGTTGGAGGTACTTTTTATTCTTTCCAAATACTTTACACCCCTCCCTCAAATGTTTTTCATATACTCTCTGTTTTGTTGCAGAACAGTACAGAACCAAGGTATTCTTCAACTATGAGAAGCGCCTACGGTTGCATAGTCCACCCGAAAAGGTGTTTTTATCTCTGTTACTTTTCAAGCACAGCATTTTCTTTGTTTATTTATCGCGTAAAATTGCGATATATACTTAATTGCAGTACCAGCATTGTTGTTGTGTAAAAAACCATTTCTGCATCTTGAATTCAGGATAAATAGTTTTATTTTTTTGTTATTTGATGATTCAAGCAATCTCCATCTTGGTTTTTCTCTTTGAAATTTATACATTAACACTTCAAGCTACATATAGTATATGTTTAAATTTGTGTAGGATATATTCAACATTATGGTGAAGTTCTAAGTAATATGATTTTAGATAATGTTTACATGTTTGACTTTAGACCCATTTCAGAGAATTGATGCAGACTCTAAAATTGATTTTGAGGTCAACCAAATTTGCTTGTGATTGTTTTCACATCAAATACTTGCATGAGGTGGCATGTTCACATCAATAGAGAAAAAAAATCGTAGAAGCTTATATTTGTAACTTCTGCTTAACGCCAATCATATACATTAAACCAAACATGCACTTCGAATGGCTTTTGTGTTGAATAGAAAATTTTATAGGGAATTTACGTGTTGACTTGCTTCTGAAGTAAAAAATGTAAACATAAATGCCTTCACTTTAAAATTAATTTTACAACATTACACCAATCAAAATTTAAGAGTGTAAGACCGTTTATTAAGAATGACCTTTACATTGACAAACTCTACTCTTCTGTATTAAGGTTTTTGAGTACTTTGCATCTTGTCGTACTCCAGAAGGAGAGATACTCATGAAGCCAGTGGACCTAATGCGAGCAGTTGTTCCTGTTTTCCCTCCATCAGAATCCAACCTAGTAAGAGAGGGATACTTGAAAGGTGAAAGATGTCCTGGCCATTTGTACTGTCCCCCTTCGGAAATTTTTATGCTTTTTGATGTAGACAACGATGAACTTATATCTTTCAAAGAGTGAGTTCTGTAATCTGTATTCATTAGACTCTGTGTGCTTCTGAAAGACCTGAAGTTGTTTTTAGATCAGAGAGTGGGATGCTAAACTAATTATTACCCTCTGTCTCTTTTTCTGTGTGAGCTCTTAATGGTCTCATTTAACTGGATCAGGTATATCTTTTTTGTAACTCTACTTAGCATCCAAGAATCAAGCTTCTCTGTAGCATTTAAAATGTTTGACAAGGATAATGACGGGTCAGTGCTGATGCTACCTTCTTTCAATGAATTATCATATTTTACGTGTTAGTAGCCCGAGTTAGTAAATTGGTATGTTGTAAACTGTGGCTATTTCTTTCTTGCACAACAAGTTATAGATTTAATAGTTTTAACCATATGGTCAGTTATAAACATGCTGGTTGTTAATAATCTGTTAAGCATCATATAGTTGCCAATAGGCTGTTTATTAATGGCATCAAATTGAAAAGACATACCATTATAGTGTCATAATTATGGGTGCATCTTAAATTTGATTTGGTGTGCTTGTACTCTTCCCATCTTTTTCTACTCTCCTAATGACCTAATTATCTTTCTCCATTTCCAGAGAGATAGACAAGGAAGAATTCAAGAACGTGATGCAATCAATGCAATCTCATACTAGACAAGGTCGTCACCACGGGGATGGAGGACGTACTGACCTTGTAGAGAATGGAGGGCTGGTGGAATACTTATTTGGTAAAGATGGAAAGGGACGCCTAAAGCATGATAAATTTGTTCAGTTTATCAGAGACTTGCATGATGAAGTATGTCTCTAGTTGCTTCTTTGCCTTATATATGTGGTTGTGATTTAAAAGGGTAACTTGAAATTAATGTTTATATTTGTGGATTGGAATTCCTGTCATACACCTTTTCCACATTTAATTTTGCTTAATTACACGTTGTCCCATGCTTGCATAATTTAGTCCTTACACATAGACTCTTTGTTCCAGCCTTTCAAGATTGTAGGGACTAAAATGAATTCAAAGTGTATGTATAATAACCAAAGCAAGTTAAAAAGTGCATGTTTTTTTGACTAAAACAAATAGTTTCTAATCGGATGGACTAAAATGTCAATATGGTGTGTGATTATAAAGATCAAATGTGTAATGTAGCCTTCAATATTTTTTGGATAAGTTTTATTTCTTTGTGGACCTTAGAATGGTTATGCATGAAAACTAATTTTAATATTATGCGAATAGATTGTGAGGCTGGAGTTTGCTCATTATGATTACAAATCTCGAAAAACTATATCGGCCAAGGACTTTGCACACTCCATTGTTGCTTCTGCTGACTTGAGTCATCTAGGCAGGTTGCTTGGACTGGTTGATGAATTAACCAATGATCCACGGTTTAAGGATGTACGCATAACATTTGAAGAGTTCAAAAACTTCGCAGAGCTGCGGAAAAAGTTATTACCATTTTCGTTGGCCCTTTTCAGTTTTGCAGAAGTACAAGGCCTGTTAACAAGAGATGATTTTCAGCGAGCTGCATCACATGTACAATCTTTTGATTTCTTTCTCATTTTAATGAAGATGATGATTATAGGGAAACTTTTAGAACCCTTTATAGAAAAATTAAAAAAGGAATCTAAAAACATTGGTGGCTTAATATATATTTTGCATCAATTATTCTATGATGGAGACTTCACATCGAATCAAGTTTATAGATTATGTAAAATGGGATGGGTGTTAGAAATGGTGCCACAATGTTGTACCTCATTTTGTTGAGAATATGGTGACAAATGAAGGATGTGGCCTATTTAAAGTGCAGAGCATAACCGTGGAAAACCAACAATTTATGTCATGATAAAAATGCATGCACATGTAATTGAATCATAACGCTGTCAGTTTTAACTTTTTAATCCTTTTTCATTACTTTTAAATTCTTGATAATCTCATCTATCATTAGATATGTCCAGTTGAAGGCTAAGATTTTGAAAAACCATTTATTCGTTGTTATGAAATTGCTTTGTCATCACTATATAAGTGTATATCAGATTTCTCTTACCAATTTAAAACATGTCTGTTAAAAAAATTCTTATGGTGTTTGATTGTTCGATTACAGGTTTGTGATTTATCTCTCTCGGATAATATGGTTGAGATTGTTTTCCATTTGTTTGACGCGAATGGGGATGGAAGCCTGAGTACAGACGAGTTTGTTAGAGTGCTACAAAATCGAGAAAGAGACATTTCTCAAACTGTGGAGACAGGAATCGTGGGTTTCTTGTCGTGCTGCAGGAAATGTACGAACACCTCTCCATCTTCACGGCTGTTTTCCTGATTTTGTTTTAGGTTACACGTATCCTCAAGTCAATACAACACAATAGGCAGTGAAATGTTAATTATCATGTTGAGAATTCAATGTCTTGTAAATAGTCACTGGGTGTTATCTAGAACGGCTTGTTCTTAAGACAGCGAACACACCTCAGCTGTGTAAACTATCATTCTTTCAATTTAACAAATTTGTTTTTGGATAATTCCGGAGACAAATGATTTTCATCCATCTTAGACTCAAGTTAAGGAAAAACAAAAGAAGGTAAATATATTTTTCATTTTATAATTATAATTATGATAAATATTTTTTAATATAATTGAAATATTTTATTTAACTTTTATATTATTTCAATTAATTTTTAAGTTTTTAATATTATCATTAAAAAATAATTAAGTTTATATTACGTAGAATATATATGATTTTAACCATTAAAAAAATTGATTTTATGATTAACAGTAGATTTAATATTAGAGTTATAAAGTTTATTAAATTTTGAGTTTAATAATTAAAAATTTAATAAAATAATTAATAATATATAAAAAATATTTTAATTATATTAAAGAGAAAAATTTATCATAGAAATTATATAAAAATTTAATTTATCCAAAAAAGAAAAAGTTGAAGTCTGTGAAAAGAAAAGAAAAAGAAAAAAAAATCATGTGTTTTCTGCCTAAATTCAAATGACACTTTATTTTAATTTTTTAGGTTAGAAAGTGAAAGGATAGAATTTAGAATGAAAGAAAAAGAATTAAAAAAAGAAATATTTTAAGATTAATAAGATGAAAAAAAAACTGAAAAGAGAGAAAAATATAAACTTTTTTTTCTTCTGTTGGATAAAGTATACAAAAAAATACAATTAAGAAAAAAAAATACCATAGAATAGAATTGATTGCAAACAAAGTTGAAAAAACTGATTAATTATGCAAGTTGTATAGTTTTTTACGTAATTAATATAAAACTCGTCATAGAATGACATAACAAGGCCGCACTTGTGGCGGACGGGTTTTCCAGTTTTTGTGTTGTTTTAATATTTTACATTTTACTATATATAATAATTTATAATTAAATAAAATTAATTATGCATTAAAAAATATATTTTATTGGTATTAATTCTATAAATTAAGTTGCCACTTATTTATTATTATATTTTAAATAAGAAATGCTTGTTTAATGAATACTATATATACTTGCTCTTTATACTGTTACTACAGAGTAATTAATTTATTGTGTTTTAACTGCTCCATTACATTACCAGTCAAAAACACTACCTTTGCATACAAATATTCTAATGATAGTTTACAATTTATTTTTCTTTTAAACATATCGTACCCCCAAGTTTATCCGGAAGTGAAACCTTTTTTCATACTTGTGGGAGTGTTGACTTGGGCCAAACGTAGCCCTAGAATTAAGTGCTTATGCAGTAAACATCGCTTAACCTGTAGTGCCGCAATCGCCGTTGTGTTATTCACAAATTTGCCTGCACAATAAATTCATTCCCCCCAAGACCAACCGTTCAATTCAGTTCGCTTTTTTCATCTAATTTTTCCTTTCTTCCTTTATTCATTTCTCTCTATCAATTTGGATTCTTACTGTTCCTTTGGTTCTTAATGGGAAAGCCCACAGGGAAGAAGAAGGATATCGCTAATCCGGGTGCTGCAAATTCACACGCCAAACCTGCGAAGTCTTCCAAAGCTTTCGATGAAGATACGGCAATGTTCATCAACATGTCACAAGAGTTCAGGGAAGAAGGTAACAAGTTGTTTCAGAAGAAGGACCACGAAGGCGCCATGCTCAAGTACGAGAAGGCACTGAAGCTGCTTCCGAAGAACCACATTGATGTCGCACATCTTCATACCAACAAGGCCACGTGTTACATGCAATTGGGTCTCGGGGAATACCCTCGAGCCATTCACGAATGCAATTTGGCGCTGGAAGTGTCTCCACGGTACAGCAAAGCTCTTCTGAAAAGAGCCACGTGTTATCGTGCGCTCAATCGCTTCGATTTGGCACTCAGGGATGTCAATCTTGTTTTGAGCGTGGAGCCGAATAATCTCGCGGCGTTGGAGTTTCTTGAGAGTCTTACAAAGTCAACGGAAGAAAAGGGGGTTTCTGTTGATGATAAAGGGGTGGCTTTTGATACTACCATTTATCGCACTCCTTCTCCTTCTGCGCAAAAACTGAACAAAAAGAGAGGTAAAAAAATTGAGGACAAGATGGTTGTGAAGGAAAAAGTGGGTGTTATTGTAGAGGATAAAAAGGTGGTTTCAAAAACAATTGGGCAAGAAAGAAAGGTGGTTTCAAAAACAATTGAGCAAGGAAAAAATGTGGTTTCAAAAGCAATTGAGCAAGAAGAAAAGGTGGTTTCAAAAGCAATTGAGCAAGAAGAAAAGGCGGTTTCAAAAGTAATTGAGCAAGAAGAAAAGGTGGTGGAAGTCGAATCTGTGGAGGAAGAAACACCCGTCACGATCACAAGGAGCGTGAAGTTGGTATTTGGAGAAGATATAAGGCGGGCTCAGTTACCCGTGAATTGTAGTGCGAAGTTGGTGAGGGATATAGCTAAGGATCGGTTTCCTGGTTTGAAGGGGGTTCTTGTCAAGTATAAGGATAAAGAAGGTGATTTGGTTACGATCACTACTACAGATGAACTAAGGTTAGCTGAAAAGTCTGTTCCTGAAAAGGCATCGTTTAGGCTTTATATTACTGAGGTCAGTCCAGATCAAGAACCTGCTTATGATGGAACAACAACTAATGGGGATGAGGTGCAAAGGGACGGTGGAAAACTAAATGATGATTTTGAGAATGGGGGTATGGAAGAAGGCAGAGATGAAGATGCTGCAAGAAAGATGATTACTGTGGAGGACTGGCTTCTCCAGTTTGCAAGGCTGTTCAAGAACCATGTAGGGTTTGAGTCTGATTCTTATCTAGATACTCATGAGTTCGCGATGAAGCTGTATGGAGAAGCGATCGAGGATACGGTAGCAAGCAATGATGCTCAAGAACTTTTTGGAATTGCTGCTGATAAATTTCAAGAGATGGCTGCCTTGGCATTGCTTAATTGGGGAAGTGTTCAAATGTCCAGGGCAAGGAACCAGGGTTTCTTTTCCGAGGATGGGGCCACAGAATCTTCCTTGGAGCATATAAAAGCTGCATATGAGTTGGCACGAACGGAGTACAAGAAAGCAGAAATGAGATATGAAGAAGCCTTGAAAATCAAACCTGACTTCTATGAAGGATATCTTGCTCTTGGGCATCAGCAATTTGAGCAAGCAAGGCTGTGCTGGTGTTATGCATTAGCATGCAAGGAATCAGATGCTGGCTTTTCTGATGAGGTTCTACAACTTTATAACAAGGCAGAGGATAGCATGGAGAAAGGCATATTGATGTGGGAGGAGATGGAGGAGCAGCGTCTGAATGGAATATCCCAATCAGATAAATATAAAGAACAGTTAGAGAAAATGGGCTTGGATGGTCTTTTCAAAGATGTTTCTGATGATGAAGCTTCAAAGCAAGCTAGAAAGATGAGATCTCAGATACACCTTTTATGGGGAACCTTGTTGTATGAACGTTCTGTGGTGGAATATAAGCTTGGCCTTCCCACATGGGAGGAATGTTTGGAGGTTGCAGTTGAAAAGTTTGAACTAGCTGGAACTTCTGCAACAGATATTGCTTTTATTGTAAAGAATCACTGCTCAAATGAAACAGCACTTGAAGGTATTAGATGGAAAAATAGGATATTCCTTAAGAATAAATATTTTTGAATTAGAGATAGCTAACAATCCAATTTCTTAATGACAGGGTTCAAAATTGATGAGATAGTACAGGCATGGAATGAGATGTATGATGCTCAGGGGTGGCAGTTTGGTGATCCATCATTTCGACTTGAACCATTGTTTCGTCGGCGTGTTCCTAAACTCCATTCCATCTTGGAGCAGTTTTAAGTTTTGTTCGTTAGTATAAAATTCTTCAGAGACATGATTTCTTTTGTCTTCATATTTTTGAAGCCGCCTTCATCCCATTATAAGACAGGTAAGTGAGACTATACATGTTCTACAATTTTGTTTTCCTTTCTCCTATTACGGAAGATCTTCCATTGTTTTGAACAAGAGTATGCTAAACTAGTCGGCTAGGTGTTTTCTTGGCATGATTTATTTATGTTTTGAATGGGCTTCTTGTTCATGATTTGCTTATTCAAAGCACTACTGAGATTATTTCTGTTTGTCGTAGGAAAGATCATAGAAACTTTAGTATTTTTTATAATGGATATCAATTTGCGTGTGTATGCTAAGCCTTAATCTACTTTTTTAATTGCCAACAAAGTCAGAAGGTATCAAAATGAGTTGGTTGAATAACTATGAGAAATATAGGTGCCAATTTCCTACCATACCACCATAATTCTGATGGTGAACGTCTTTCTACTGGCCAAGATGTTTCTTTGTTTGTTTAGAATCAATGTAAGGCATTGATTGTCCCTCCAACCCCCCACCCAAACATTTAGACTTGTCTGCAGATTACCATGACATAAGGTACTGAGAAAAATGATTATCATGGATGAGTTTCTGTTGATTTTGCTGTGAGAATTGAGAAACAAATCCAACTAATATATCAGAGGAAAGATTAATGTGAAAAACTTCTGTGGAAAGGAGAATCCTTCTTCCTGAAATAACCTTGGTGATCAAGTGGCATTGCCAATGGTTTTTGATACAGTGGCACTCCATACAATAGAATTTTATAAAGAATATCAAACAAAACAGAAAGAGTATGTCAAGAGGGGGAAAAGGAAAAAAAAATCTAGAGAATTTTAAATGCTGACATGGTTTCTGCATACCTAATGATTTATTCGCGTTCTGTTCCCCTCACAGCCTCTTTTTCTAATTGGCTTTTTATTTCATTCATAGTCAAGATTTTATGCCGAAGGGTTCAAACACCCTTGTTATATCTGAAGTTGTCTGCAATAAAATCAATTCTACTTACTGCTTCGGCAGTTTTATGAACTTAGTGTTTGAGGAACTTAGGCTATGCAAGAGGCAATGCTTGTTTTGATTGACCTTTATAAGTGCAATATTAGAATTGAGCGGGAATATGTGATTACCTTGTAGGATTTATATAAACTTGTATAATAACATAGAAACGTGCATAATGGTTAATGTGCTAATGTTATGTGTATTATTAAATAATGATAGTAAATCTTTGGGGTGACCTCATATTCATCCCATTTTTTTTATGGGATTTATAAAATATAATTGTTTTCAGTCACTGTTTGATTGATATCACTTCCACTGGCACTTATTTGTGAGACAAGATTTTCCTGTATTATGTTTCCTCACTTCCCTGACTGAAAGAAACTGTTGGCTTTTGGCGTTAGACTTAGAACAGAAACCGGTTACTTAAGATAGCATTAATCATATTAACATCTGGTATATGCTCATTGTCTATACGGTGTAACGAAAAGCTTGGGTTACTTAGACAAATATTAGTTGTTAATATCTTAATTTTTGGGTTACATAGGAATACTGGATTGACTAATTATAACTGTTAAGAATATTTTAGTATTTTACAGTATTCCTTAGTGCCTCAAATAATTCCATCTTAAATTTTTTTTGTACTGTCTTTTTGATGAATTATACTTTATCGATGTTGATTGATATCCATGTGGTTGGCCTGAACGAGTTTCTTGCGTTTTTTGCAGGTTTTTTTTTGGTTCTCCATACTATTGTTTAGTTCATTGTTTGGTGCTTATGATTGGATTATTTTTTCTGATGCCAGTTTTATACTAGTCGATTTCAGACTAGAAAACCTGGTTATGTATATTTATTTAGTTTTTATACTTGAAGGGATTTGCTGGGGGTTTCATTCTTTAAGGCGTACTAGAGTATATTGGATGATTTGATTTGTTCAGCTTGCACCAAAGATTTTTTTTCCATAGGTGAAGGCTTGTGATTAATATTGTGATTTGTTGTTGGTAAGTGGTTAAGTGGTATACTGTAACAATGTAAGGATATCAAATATCACATTATAGTATTCATTTTTATCATGTTTTAATGCCGCTAATTTGTGTCTTTTTCTTTCATAACAACTAATTTACGCTCTTTAACAAAATTTATTTACTGGAAAAAGAAAACAAAAACAAAGATCTGTGACATGAGAAAATAAATGTGTGTATCTTTCACCTTATTTATTTTATTATCGATACTTCAGAAATGTGAAAATAAAAATAAATATTTACGTTGACTATTTCACGTTACCATTGGAATGGGAGATATTATCTGTAATAACTAATTATTTCTACTATATTCTTTTATTATTACTTTTTTTTCAATTTTTAAATTAAATAAATTTTAACTTTTTAAAAATTATTAAATAAAACCAACATATTTATAAGATATCACTCTTCGCATATTATTCCGGAGAATATGATTCCAATATTTTTTTCATATATATATATATATATATATATTTATATTTAACTATTTTATATGTGAAATAGTGCGAATCTCGGAACTACGTAAAAAAAAAATACAATGACTATAAGGGTAAATTTTTTTTACGTTTTTCTTTTCTAAAAGATTATTATGTGATAACATATATTTAAATTTGGAAGAAGCCTTTTTTTTTTTTGAAAAGATTGGAAGGCCCAAAATGATTATTTAAAAATAGGTATAATTATTTACTTATCTACAGAATATTATCATATGATGTGATGAGATATATGTTTAAAAAGTCGAAAATCTTGTTTAAAAAAGATTATATATAGACGTATCATTGAATATAAAAGTAGGGAAAGAGGTAGAGTTGGAATATAGAGAGAGGTGTTTGAAGAAGGTTGATTCAGGTTTCAAATTTAATTTGCGACGATGGAGAAGGGTAGGAGAGCTTCCCATGCTGGTTCATGGTACACCCACGATAGTAAGTACCCTCACAGTCTGCTCTTTTCTATTTTTAAAATATTAATTATTAAATTATTTTAAAAATATAAATCTGAAAATAAAACAATGTTAAATCTAATATTCTAATAGTTTTAAAAAATACAACGTCTTTGAAAATTTATATTACACAATTTTTTTATATAAGAAAAAATATTTTTCTTCTTTATATAAAAATAAATTAATTATTCAATAAATTATAGATTAATAATCATATATACATCATTTTATTAAAATGGTAATTATTCTTTTTAAATTTATTTTCTTTCAATCATACATGAAAATAATTATTTTTTTTAACTCTTTCAGTCAGACGTTGTTTTTATTTTTTTCCTCTTTGATATAAATAAAACATATTTATATTATAAAAAAAATCATATAACCACATTCTTTACCATTTTATTCTTTATATTATATAATTATTTTTCTATTTTTTATCATATTTTATTTTAAATTATAATTTTATTTAAAATATTTTGATAGAGAGTACTTGGGTCAAACATTGGAATGTGTTAGACCGATTAAAAGTATATTTTTGAGAGAATGTGAAGATGAAAATGTTTTGCCTGGTGCAGTATTTGGTTAATTGATTATGCTACGTGTATAATTAATGAGATGCAGGGACAACTCATTTCATTACTAATAATTACTAATTGATCTTTTCAACTTGATTACTATAAAAATATTTCAGATATGCAGCTTTCTGAAGAACTAGAAGATGGCTGAGATCCACTGGTCTATCCAAATCCCGTAACATACGGTGAATAATAGCCCCGTAAGTTTTTTTTTAATCATATTTTTTCTAAAATTGAGTTCATTTAATTACCATACTTACGATTAATCTTTTTGGAAAAAAGAAATTGTGATTAGTTTGAGGTAATTCCAATTTCAGGCATGCTGGTTATTCCTTGTCTGGACGTGCTGCTGCATATGCTTTTGCAAACATTGATCCATCTAACATATATATATATATATATATATATATATATATATATATATATATATATATATATTTTTTTTTTTTTTTTTTTTTTATATACCTTTTTTATTCTCTTTTATTTTTACTTGTGACTTTTTAAAATTTAATATTTATGGTTTGATTCAGTGCACGGGTTTTCCTTCTTGGTCCTTCTCACCACCATTACACACCCAATTGCGCTCTTTCATCTGCAACATTCTACGAGACGCCCTTGGGAGACCTACTTGTTGATTTAGAAGGTACTAATCACATGACTTTTCTTACTCATCTACTTCGATTACATGCTGTTTGTCTCTGCCCAATGTGTCATGTATCTTTTGGGAATAAATTTAAATCCATGTTCCTGAGAAAGGGATAATTTCAATTTTCTCCGTATTCATAAAACCTATGTAATATATACAATGTACTTACTAATTGATTAATTATGAAAGGTAATCAATGATATGTGGGATAAAAAAACTGTCTGCAAGTGTAAATTCAAACTGCATATGATCGAAAATTTCTCTATATATTGACTGACTTCTCTCTTTCCATTAATTCAGTAATTGAACAGCTTAAAGCAACGCAGAAATTTGAAAAGATGGATATTGGCGTTGATGAGGCTGAACATAGCATGGAAATGCACTTGCCATATCTTGCTAAAGTATTTGAGAGGTAAATTTTGTTAATGCAGATTTATTTGTTCTGAAGCTTGCTTAGCAGCAAATTAAACTGAATCTGAAATATGGATGTAGGCAACAGATTAAAATTATACCCATTTTTAGTTGGTAGTCTTAGTGTCGAGAGTGAAGCCATGTACGGGAACATACTTTCTAAATATGTTGATGATCCACTGTTAGTGAGAAATTGATAAAGAGATCGAGAAACAAATGGGAGCAAAAAATCGAAAATCATTTTGATTGAGTTAAAGATTGATAAATCGAAAGATAGTTGGAAAATACGTTCGACGACCATGTGACAATATGATCGAGAATTAGAATCGAGAAATCGAAGGAAGAATGTTTTCGAGAAATTAAAATTTTGTAATGTTAAAGTTAAGGAAAACCAAGAGCAATTCAAAGTTCTCGAGATCAAGAGATCAAAATCAAGAGGAAGGCTAACTTGCGTGGATATCGAAATCCCGGCTAGGTCATAAAGAGGGGAACAGTTAAACGCGCACATAGGAAACATATTCTAAACCGTGGCAGAGGTCGAAGATCATGGGAAAGTGGGTGCAGTTTTGATACCGAAGAAGAAACTGCAACATGCACGTAGGACGTTGTAGCAGTTTTCGTTAACTGCTCCTAAGAGGTTACCTGCTTAAAGGATACCCTATAAATAGAGTGAAGGAGGAAGGAAGAGGGGGAAATTGGCAGAGAGAGCAGAAATACTAGTGAGAAGTCTACCGGAGAACGACGAACATCATGAAGTTTCTGGCGATCTGGATTTCCATGTTCATTGATTTCCTTTACCGTTTTCTTTATTTTCCCTGGTAATTTACTTTGATGCGGTTTATGTTTAACAACTTTAAGTTTACGTATTTTCGATTCTTTGTCATTTCTCTTTAATGAAAGTTAAGTTTCTGCGTTTAAGTTCATTGTCATTTACATTAACGTAATTTCGATTTTCCGCCATTTACATTTACGCAATCTCGATTTCTGCTATTTACATTTACGTAATTTCGATTTCTGTTATTTATATTTACGCAATTTCGATGCTTTGTCGTTTACACTTAATGCAAATTTGAGGTTTCCGCATTTTTCATTCCTTCGCAGTTTTACATTCGGTATTGCTTTTCGATTTGTCACTTTACTGTTTTCCTTATTTCGAGTACTTCAAATACAAAATACCAAAAATAGTGCTTTCGATTATTTAATCTTAGTATTTTCTATACAGTGGTATTTTCGATTCTCATACGCATTTCGATTGAAATTCAGTTGCTAGCCTAAGTATAAAGAATCTACGTGATTGAGTTTTGGTTAGAATCAAAGCCTCTTAAGAATCGAAATTAATCAAAATTCCACCAGAAACAAATTGACGCGCCAGGTAGGGGGAGTTTGTGTCGAAAAAACACAAAATTGGTTAGTTCGAAGGTGTATGAGATTAAGGAGTGGGCGAGTAATAAGAATGAGTCAGAATCCACCAAATAACCAGAGCAACAGTGAGGGTTTGAACAGCCTGAATGGTTCACATCCACCAAACACTGGGGGGTAAGGGCATAATGGGAATATGCCTGTAGTATCGACAACCGCGAGTATGTCGATACCTGTAAGTAAAGAACAAAGTTCAGGTACATTAGTAAATACTCAAGTAGGGTCTAATACTGTGATACCAAACAATATGCAAACTATGGGGAACCCCATAACAACATATGCAGGGCCGTATATGAGCGTAAGACCACCTGGTTTTTCGCTTAATAATATGAGTGGGGCTGGTACTTCTCTAGTACAACGAAATTCAAGATTTAACTTAAGAATGCCTCAAAACTTAGGTACATTTCAAACTCTAGGTATGCCGCAAAATTTCGGAGTATCTCCAAATTTAGGGGCGTCTCAAAATTCAGTAACCCCCCAGATTCAAGGAGTGTGCAGAATTCAGGTACACAACAGACACCTCCAAACATAGATCATAGAATAAATATGGATCATGGGAGATATACATTCGATAGAGATTATCATCGGTCCAACTTCGATATTATCAAAAATGCCAGTACTGGACTCTCCAGTAACTCATTAGGAGTACTTAGACAACAAATGGATGAAAGCAATTTTGAGATGGTTAATATGTTGTCACAAAGTTGACTACAGTCCTAAACCCATTAGTTCAAAACACTACTACTAGTTTTGAGATATTAGCAGACCAAATGGCCCGTATCGGGGATGCATTGGTCATACCTCGACAAACGAGAATGGAAACTCATGTCACTCACAGCATTAACTAGAATGCTAATATTAATCCTCCTTATTTATTAAGAAGGAATCGACACAATGATCAACATCAGAATCTGGGGAACGAATATCAGCATGTGAGGAATGATATTTATGGAAATCTGAATGAGAGATTTTAGAACATGTATAATCAAAATAACATGCAGTTTAACCACATGGCAGGGCAAAGGATGAACCCTCAAGGGGTAGAATTAAGGTCACCCAATCAACCATACTTTGTTTCTCCTTTTCCAAATACGATTCTCGAGACAGAATTACCTCGAGGATACAAAGTACCTAAATTCACCAAATTTGCTGGAGAAATTGGTGAGTCCACTATCGAGCATGTAACTCGATATCAGATCGAATGTGGGGACCTAGCTATGAGTGAAGAATTGAAAATGAAATATTTCCCTAGTTCATTAACTAAGAATGCTTTCACTTGGTTTACTTCGTTGCCACCCAATTCGATATATAATTGGTTGCAATTGGAAAGAAATTTTCATGAGCAATTCTTCAGAGGGGAGACTCAAGTAAGTCTCATCGACTTAATGAATATAAAGAGATACAATCATGAAAGTATAGACGATTATTTGAATAGATTTAGACAGATGAAGTCAAGATGTTTTACTCAAATTCCTGAATATGAATTAGTCAAAATGGGCTCTGCAGGTCTAGAATTCTCGATTAGGAAAAAGTTAGTTAATTTACCATTAAATGACATGGCTCAGCTAACTGATAAAGTGAGAAGAGTGGAACAAATCAAATATGAAAAACAAAGGTATAAGAAATTTGAGAAACCCATAAAGAAAGAAAGAGTAGCATATATAAATGATGTGTATGAGACAGATCCCAAGACAGAAACTGATATTGAAGAAACTGTCGATGAGAAAGTGAATATAGCAGAGCTCAAAGTAGGAGCTCCATATATTTGTAAATTACTACAGAAAAATGAAGTAAAAGACAAAATGACAAATCGAACGTATACTTTCGATGTAACAAAAGCCGATAAAATTTTCGATATTTTATTGAAAGATAAGCAGATTAAGTTGAGTGATGATCATAAATTGCCAACTGCAGAACAAAGGAATGGTCGAAAATACTGCAAATTCCATAATATTTATGGACATTGGACTAATAATTGTATACATTTCAGGAACACGATTCAAGATGCGATTGACCAAGGAAGACTGAAGTTCGAGGAGATGTCAATGAAAGTGGACACAAGTCCATTCGATGTTCAAGTGGGATATATCGAATCCCAGACGGGCATGACTGAAGATGTCCGATTGACAAATTCGACCTTTGTAGGCATGGTTGATGTTACTGAAGACATCGATCCTAAGCATGTCAGAATGGACGTATCTGAAGAAGACATGGAATTCGACCTGAGTGAGTTCGAGAAAGAATTCGAGAGAGAAATCTATCTTCGATCAGGTGATTCCCTCGTGGAGTTCTTAAACAGAAAGAAAGAAAAGGATGAAGATGTGACATTATGTCCACGATGCAGTGCAGTATTCGACAAGTCAGCTGCTAAAGCCTTCAGAGCAGGACAAATGAAGAAAATCGAGAAACAAAATAAAAGGGACAATGACAAAGTAGATCAATCAACCCAAGCAATGATAGGGGAAAGTCAACAAAAATCTGTCGGTTATGATGTTAGTAGGAATCAGTGGATGAAAAAAGAAATGTATCCTTCTTGAAGAGGAAGGGGCAGACTTCAAAGTCATGACGTCTTCGAGAGACTTTCATATGATGAAGGATCGAATACTGGATTCCTAACATTCCAAAGGAGATTTCGAGGAAGGCCTTGGAGAAGAGGAGGAAAGATCCCTTACTGGAATAATTACAGGAACTTTGAAGAGAGTAATGTATCAATGGGGAGCCAATATGCAAGAGACTTTTTCGATGATAAAAATGAGGGTAGCTGGGATGAACATCAAATCGGAGTAATATCGATACTGTCCGCGGAATATGTTAGTGAGTATAAAGAATACCAAGAGCAAAGTAATGTCGAGCGAGAGGATGACTTCTATTCCAAAGACATAAGGCCAAAGGTAACATGGGTAACACAAGCATCATGCGAGGTACCACATAGAGATGCTGCTTTTATTGATCATCCATCTGAAGAGATGAGGTTCCACCTGAAGCCTTTATTACTGAATATCGAGATTCAAGGGCAAATGGTGAATAGAGTTCTTGTCGATGGTGGTGCAGCAGTGAACATATTGCCCATCACTATGCTGAAGAGGTTTGGTATCAACTTGAAAGATTTGGTCAGGCACAATATCATGATTTCCGATTTCAGTGGAAAAACATCGAGCTCAGAAGGGATGATTGCCTTAGATGTAAAAGTGGGCGCTTATTCGAGGTCAACCGTGTTTATAGTCGTTCAATCACATGCCAATTTTAATGCATTACTCGGCCGGGAGTGGATTCATGGAGTGGGAGCCGTACCTTCTACGGCTCATCAAAAGTTGTTTATGTGGAATCGAGATGGACATCTCGAAGTGATTCCAGACGACCAACATGAGTTCGTGACATTTGTATCTCAGACTGGTCGGGCACTGCAGAATTTGACGCTTACTCAACCATTCATCTTCGAGACTGTCGAAGACTTCAATTCAAAATTGCACGAGGAGCATTTTTTAGAAATGAATGAGAAGAAAGGATTTGTCATGATCAAAGAGGGGGCCAACCTCAAAGTGACCGGTGAAAATGAATAGAGATTATGAGGAGTTCTTGGCTCGAT